AAAACTGTTTCAGTGTATTTGATGAAGTGCACGCACACGAAAGCTCATACCTAGAATTAAATGTTGTTGGTCTTAAAGGTGCCACTGGACTCAAACCTTGTTCCGTTTCTTCAGACCAACACCTGAAGTTGTGTTCTTGTGTTCTTAAAAGCAGGCAGCTCAAAAAGGAAGGCACTGGCCTGGCCTAAGTTGGTGGGTGGTTTTATAAAGGGAGATGCTGTCCTTCAGATACATGAGTCCTAGAACTTTGAACTGTGTCTTGGACACATGCCCAACTGCTGTAACGGAGCTGCTAGCTTGAATGCTGTTGCACCTGGGAAACGTAGTTTTCCCAGGGCGTCTGAGTCCATACTGTGGAAATCAGGCATCCTCTGAACTACCATCTCCCAAGGCTCCTTGCTAGGGTTGCCAATTCTGGGTTGGGAAATACCTAAAGATTTTGGGGGTGGAAGCTGGGGAGGGTGGGGTTTGCGGAAAGGAGGGACAATGACATAGAGTCTACCCTCCAAAGCATCCATTTTCTCCAAGAGAACTGATCTTTGTCGTGTGGGGATCAATTGTAATACGGGGAGATCTCCAGGTCCCACCTGGAGGTTGGCAACCCTACCCCTTGCAGAAGTAAAGGCAGGGTAGGGGCTGCTTGACAAGGAAAGGGATGGGTGGGGCTGGCCCTCCAAAATCATTAATCATGACCTGTCCGATTCCTGCCCTTTTTTGTTTCAGGCGCTGGAACCTTTGGGAGATGTGGTAGTAAAATCCCCCAAGTCAGAGGAAGATCCTTTGGAGATTGTGAAGCTGCGGATCCCTCTGGATATCAAGCAGGAGAGTGATTGGGAGGCCAGCTCACTGGGTAAGGAGTGAAGACTGTATCCTGGACTGTGGCAAAGTGGATGCTGCTGGAAAAATCCAGGAATTCATCTTTGTGTTAATTTCCAAGCACCCATGGGCATCACCTTAGCATCATTATTGTGGCCATCTTGCCTCCTGCCACCTGTAATAATATTTGTAGAGCATCTTCCCTTATTTGCTACAGCCCATTCCTAGACATATTTTTGGGGTGGAGGCACTAAGCCAGAGGGTATAAGATAAGTCCCAGTTAGGGTTGCCAACAGGCCTGGAGAAAGATGCCCTGCTCTGTTAATAAAGGCCTCGCCTGAGCGTGTCAAAACTTGAAAGATAAGCTTGGTTGGCTAAAATGAGTACTTGGATGGGAGACTACTGAGGGAGACTAGGCTTGCTACTCAGAGGAAGGCACTTGGTAAGCCACCTCTTCCCGTCTCTTGCCCTGAAGGCCTGGTGGAGGGGGTCGCCATTCGTCGGTTACGACTAAATGACATGTTCTCCTTTATGTGTGGAATTGGGTAGCTGAAGCTTTCCATGGAAGAAGGTAAACAAGATCACATAACGTAAGAATATAAGAGAAGCCATGTTGGATCAGGCCAATGGCCCATCCAGTCCAACACACAGCGGCCAAAACCCAGGTGCTATCCAGAAGCCCCCCCCCCCCCCAAATGGGTAGCTGAAGCTTTTAATGGAAGAAGGTAAACAAGATCACATAACATAAGAATATAAGAGAAGCCATGTTGGATCAGGCCAATGGCCCATCCAGTCCAACACACAGCGGCCAAAACCCAGGTGCTATC